TTTACTTCCGTGATGTAATTCAAGTTTAAGGAGAGTGTAACAATATCTTCAGGCACAGATGGAACTTGAGTGAGGTTGCACGCGTCATAGTTTGCAATGCTTCTTTCCACTGAACACTTGGGAACTGCAAGTATCTCTTGGCATACAAACAACATGCCAGTGAGAAATATCAGGTGATGCAGCATTGTGCCTTTGCCCTGGAGAAAGGGGGGGAAATGGTTAAAAAGGGCTCTCACACATTTCATACTGGTATGGGGAGACTTGGGTTAGATACAAGTATTGCTGTACTGGAACAGACTAATGTCTTACTAGAGCCTATCCAGTTCTCAACAATAGCCCCTTGTGAAAATTCACAAGCAAAGAGTATGGGTGATGATGTCCCTCTCTTTTGCTTGTCTGCAGGTTTCAGTAATCAAAGGTGCACCTGCCTCTGATCACAGAGGTTTCATTTAGCAATTATGTCTAATAGCAGCTACAAATTATTCCCACTCAGTCACAAAACTCTGAGAATTCCCTGGACCAATCACTGTCTCTCAAAGTAACCTACTACACAAGTTTATGGCAAAGATAACACAGGATGATCCCATATACACTGTCTTATGTTCCACAGAGAAACTCACATGGAAAATATTTAGATAAGAGACTAAAACCCAGATTTTCTTAAGAGTCATTATTGACTCTTATGTGTATATATGTGTATATATGGCCTTCTAGAGGACACAAAATAGCACTGTTGTAAAATCCTATATAGCCCTATGACAATAGCACTTCATCTGTTGAACATTAACAAACCCTCAAGGCCAAGGTGGCTGACCCGGAGAAGCAGAGACAGTCAGGCACAAGGATAAAACTGTCAGGGACTTGTTTGATGTGCCCCACTCTGAGAATGGCAGCCCCGCCATTTCAGGAAGTCAAGGGGAAACAGGGCACCATGCTGATGAAAAGGGGAATGTTCCCTCAGAAGGGACCTCATCTTCCGTTGATGAACAAGTATCTTTTCTTACCAAGGAACCATTCCGGGGCAGGGAGGGAGAGGGCCTCTTGTAGTTGGTGATTTAATCCCTAGTCATGTAGACAGGTGGGTTGCGAACCCACGTACTGACCGCATGGTGACGTGCCTGCCTCGTGCGAAGGCAGCAGACATTACGCATAGTCTAGATAGGCTGCTAGACAGTTCTGGGGAGGAGTCAATGGTCTTGTACATGTTGTCACATCTCTCTCCCACTCTGCACTTTTCTCCTTCCCTCTTCCACCTTTTCCTCTCCTGCTAGTGCAGAGAGATCACTGATCTTGATATTTGTTTCCCACCCCCCAGCAGGGGAAGGGCTGGGATCCTCAAAATTCAGGCTTAAACTGAAGAAAATTGGGAAAACCTGACCAGGCCATTCAGGTTTGACCTAGATCACATCCCTTATGAATATACAGTGGAGGTGAAGAACAGGTTTAAGGCACTAGATTTGATAGATAGAGTGCCTGAAGAATTTTGGACAGAGGTTCATGACATTGTACAGGAGGCAGCAATCACCACCATCCCAAAGAAAAATAAATACAAGGAAGCAAAGTGGCTGTCTGATGAGGCTTTACAAATAGCAGAGGAAAGAAGGAAAGTGAAAGGCAAACGTGAAAAGGAAAGATTTATCCAACTGAATGCAGACTTCCAGAGAACAGCAAGGAGAGATAAGGAGGCCTTCCTGAATGAGCAATGCAAAGTAATCGAGGAAAACAATAGAATGTGAAGGACTAGAAATCTCTTCAAGAAAATTAGAGAAATCAAGGGAACGTTCCATGCAAAGCTGGCCATGATAAAGGACAAAAACGGTAGGAACCTAACAGAAGCAGAAGAGATTAGGAAAAGATGGCAAGAATACACAGAAGAACTATACAAGAAAGACCTCGATGTCCTTGACAACCATGACGGTATAATCACTGACGCTCGAGCCAGACATCCTGGAGTGTGAAGCCTTAGAAAGCATTACTAACAACAAAGCTAGTGGAGATGATATCCCAGCTGAGCTATTCAAAGTCCTAAAAGATGATGCTGTTAAAGTGCTTCACTCAATATGCCAGCAAATTTGGAAAACAGAACAGTGGCCACAGGATTGGAAAAGGTCAGTTCAATGCCAAGGAATGTTCAAGCTATCGCACAATTGCACTCATTTCACACGCTAGCAAGGTCATGCTCAAGATCCTACAAGCTAGACTTCAGCAGTACGTGGATAGAGAACTGCCAGAAGTATAAGCTGGGTTTCGAAGAGGTAGAGGAACAAGAGATCAAATTGCCAACATTCTCGGGATTATAGAGAAAGCAAGGGAGTACCAGAAAAACACCTACTTCTGCTTCATTGACTATGCTAAAGCCTTTGATTGTGTGGATTACAACAAACTGTGGCAAGTCCTTAAAGAGATGGGAGTATCAGACCACCTCACATGTCTCCTGAGAAACTTGTATAAGGAAGGGTCAGGAAGCAACAGTTAGAACCAGACATGGGAAAAAAATTGATTGGTCTAGAATAGGAAATGGAGTACGAGAAACCTGTATAAGGGTCAAGAAGCAACAGCTAGAACCGGATATTGAACAACTGATTGGTTTAGCATAGGAAAGTAGTACAACAAGGATGTATATTCTCGCCCTGCTTATTTAATTTATATGCAGAGTACATCATGCGAAATGCCAGCCTGGATGAATCACAAACCAGAATTAAGACTGCCAGGAAAACCATCAACAACCTCACATATGCAGAATATACCACTCTAGTGGCAGAAAGTGAAGAGGACCTAAAGAACCTCTTGTTCAGGGTGAAAGAGGAAAGTGCAAAAGTTGGTTTGAAACTCAACATTAAACCCCCCCCTAAAATCATGGCATCCGGCCCCATCGCTCCTTGGCAAATAGAAGGGGAAGTCATGGAAGCAGTGACAGACTTCATGTTCCTGGGATCCCAGATCACCGCAGACTGTGACTGCAGCCATGAAATTAAAAGACGCCTGCTCCTTGGGTGGAAAGCTATTGCAAACCTTGACAGCATAATAAAAATTAGAAATATCACCCTGCCAACAAAAGTCCGCATAGTCAAAGCGATGGTATTCCCAATAGTAATGTATGGCTGCGAGAGTTGGACCATAAGGAAGGCCGAGCGCCGAAAAATAGATGCTTTTGAATTATGGTGCTGGAGAAGACTCGAGAGTCCCTTGGACTGCAAGGAGATCAAATCAGTCAATCCTAAAAGAAATCAACCCTGACTGTTCCCTGGAAGGACAGATACTGAAGCTGAAGCTCAAATACTTTGGCCACCAAATGAGAAAAGAGCACTCACTGGAGAAGACCCCGATGCTGGGAAAGACTGAAGGTGAAAGAAGAAGGGGACAGCAAAGGATGAGATGGTTAGATAGTGTTATTGATGCAACGAACATGAGAGTGAGCAAACTCCAGAGGATGGCGGAAGACCGGAGGGCCTGGAGTGATGTGGTCCATGGGGTCGTGAAGAGTTGGACTTGACTGTGTAACCAAACAACAACCACCCTAGGGAGGAAGCTTTTTCCCCCTTCCCCAAAGCCAATCTGCACACAACTTGGAGGGCAGGTAGAGGGGCAGCCTGGGGAGGTCCTCTGCAAGTTTGATGTTCCTAGCTTGGCGTTTGACACACTCCTCCATCCTTTGCACATTGGACCCTAGGGAGGGATCTTTTCCCTTCCCCAAAGCCAGTCTGCACACAACTTGGAAGGGGAAGTATTAAAAGGAATGACAGGATTGCCCATTGGAAACAATGGGAGAGGCTTGAAGGCCCATTTGTTGTTGTTGTTGTTGTTTTAAATTAAAAACCTTTGGGACTCCACCCCTCCTGGCAGACCAGCCAGCCAGCCACCAAGCTGATGTCCTTCTATGGGTCGTGCATGCCCGGAGTAGCCCAGCGGCAGCTAGCCAAAGGGGGTGGGAAATTGGAGAGGAGAGGAGAGAAAGGGGAGGATGCAGTGTGCCCCCTCCATTGCTTACACACTTGGCCAAGTCGGTGGCAATTGGATGCTCCCTCCACGGGTCACAAGTGATGTTAACCACAATTAAACAAGAAATATGGGTTTTGGTTGTAGATGCAGAATGCATATGCAAAAATATGTCGGAGAAAAAAGATTGACTTCATGAAGTTAACCTTAAAGGCTTGACTGCTTGGATTCTCAGGAGTAAGCTACAGTGAGCTGTTAGTGCAGAAACTCCCAGGTTCTAGATGCCATAGTAGGAAAATTGCAGGCCTAACATGTCTGGGAAATTATAGATGTTTATATATAAATGCTAGAAGTGTCCATGGTAAAATGGGGGAGCTGGAATGCTTAGTGTCAGGGGAGAACATAGACATTGTGGGCATTTCAGAAACTTGGTGGGATGAGGAGAATTAGTGGGATACAGTGATTCTTGGATATAAATTATATCGGAATAATAGGGAGGGAAGGGTTGGAGGGTATATAGTCCAGTAAGATTGAGAATGTAAGAGAAATATATTCACTTACAGAAATGCTATGGGTGGAAATAGTGTGCCCAAAAGGAAGCTTAACTCTGGGAGTTTGTTATCACCCACCGATCAAAGGTTAGAGGATGATTTAAAAACAGCAAAAGAATTAAGGAAAGCAGCTAGATGAAATAATTGTGTCGTAATAGGTGGCTTTACCCACATATTGATGGGTCAGGGCTTTTTTTCTAGAAAAAGCCTAGCAGGAACTTATTAGCATAATAGGCCACACCCAACAGCAGAAACTCATTAGCATATTAGGCAACACCCCTGACAGCACAGCTCATTAGTACAAAGCAGGGAGCCCAGGCAAGCCTTCCCTTGGCTTGCCCGGGCACCCCGCAGCTGCGGGAAGCCCAGGCAAGCTGGCCCTTGGAGGGGAGGGGAGGCAGTTTAAACTACCTTCCCTTGGCTTGCCTGGGTGCCCCATGGCTGCGGGGAGCCCAGGCAAGCCCCCCCTTGAAGGAAAGGCAGTTTAAACTGCCTTCCCTTGGCTTACCCAGGTGCCCAGCGGCTGTGGGGAGCCTGGTGGGCAAGATGACCCTTGGACAGGCTGGGGAAGGCATGGAGAGGCATTTAAATGCCTTCCCGATCCTTCCAGGGGGGCACTGGCCCACCCACCTCAGAGTCGCCAGGTGGGGTCACTCTCCAGGCCTTCCCTCTGTAGCCACGTAGGCAGAGGTGGGCGT